GATCCGTGAGCTTAGTGCATCTCCGTCGCCCTTTCAAGTTCGAGGGGTATCGCCAGTGCAGTGGGCTCCTCAGATGGGAAACCAGCCTGGCCGCATGTGCCCCACGGCAGCTTCTTATTCCCCGATGGCCCTGGGCCCCCGAAGGAGTCCCGAGGCGTCTTCGAAACGGACCTCTTATGATGCGATTTCTTATCGTGTGTACCTGCCGTGCTTTTGGTGTGTGCCTTTCAGTCGGGCATGTCCCTCTACAGGATGAATTTCAAAAATTGTCAAAAATTGAACTGGGGACGATGTCCTGACGATTTGTGACTATTTCAGAATATTGTAGTGGCCTTCGGCCAGTGCCGCCGATCCGGGTCGCTCGGTGTTATTCTCCAGACGCAGACATTATGGGCGCACACTCAAACGCACAAACTTCTCGGGTTACCTTCGAAAGGGCGTAGGAATGCAGTTGGGTCAATAGAGCCATCTCGCAACAGTGGTTCTATCAACGGCGGGGTGCTTGCAGTGACCGTGGGGACGGGAAATAATAATGACATGAAAATTCCATACAGGATGCCGATCACTTTGGAAACTCACGATACGTCGTGCACGGAGTCGTGTTACGAAACATGTGGCCTGGACGATGTGGTGCGAGCGGTGGAGGCGAGCCTATCGGCGCAAGGACGCCCTCTTGGGGCGTTTTTTGAGCCATCTTAGGAGCCTGTCAGGGCGTCGTGGGGGCTTCTTGGGGGCTTTCGGAGGCCCTCTTGGAGGCTCTTGGGGCCTCCTGGGGGCCTCGTGGGCTGGAAGGCTAGATTTTTTCCGCTTTTCGTCCCTCTTTTGGGTCCTCTTGGGGCCGTCTTGGGGGCCTATTGGGCCGTCTTGGGCGGCTCTTGGGCCGCCTTGGGGCCCTCTTGGGCCGTCTTGGGACTGTGTGGGGGCCTCTTGGGCCGTCTTCGAGCGGTCTTGGGGGCCTCTTGGGCCGTCTTGGAGCGTCGGAAAGCCGAAAAAAGCGACAACCCCAAAAACATTGAAAAAACCAATGGGAATCAACGATTTTTGCCTCTGGGGGCCATCGTGGGAGGCCTCTTGGAGGCCTCTTCAGACGTCGTGGAAGGCTCTTGGGCCGTCTTGGGGCCATCTTGGGCGTGTTCGGGCGATCCTTCGGGGTCTCGGGACTTTCGTAGACCGTCCTCAGAGACTTTTGCGGCCGCGGCCACCCTTCCAGCGCATCCTCGAGATTAGAGCCTTCTGTAAAAGCAGCGCCCCGCATCCGCCGGAAACTCGCCCCCCCCCCCATCCCCCCTTCCCCGGCAGAGCCACCCCGGCAACCCCCCCAGAGGCTGAGGCTCAGCCTCGAGGCTGTAGCTGAGACTCCTTGAAACTCACACGCCGGATCGGCGGTTTTTTTCTCAGAAAGGGCATAGATAGGCCCAGGGCTCGCTTTTAGTAGGTTCCCCCCCCGGCCTCGACGGCTAGAGGGCCGGCGGAATTATTATGCGATAAATAACGAGGTCGAAGAGGGCCGGCGAAGTTAGTTTTGAGGATGTCCCGAGCGAAACGCTTGCTTTGCAGAAATGGTTGAGGATGTCTCGAGCGAAACGCTTTTTTGGGTTATACATTATCCTCTCCTGGGGACCAGAATTCAGAGGATCTCTCAAGTGAAATGCTTGTTTTTACGTGCCCAGGTCTTGAGGATGTCTCGGGCGAGACGCTTGATTTCACGCGTCCAGATTGCCCAGGCATATGTCTAGCATCAGGAGTTGTTGAGGATGTCTCGAGCGAGACGCTTGTTTTCACGCGTCCAGGTCGCCCAGGCGGATGTCTAGCGTGATTAGAGCGTTGAGGAAGTCTCGATCGAGACGCTCATTTGCACGGGTCCAGTTGGCCCAGGCGGATGTCTAGCAGGAGGATGTGTTGAGAATGTCTGAAGCGAACGCTTGTTTTCACGTGTCCAGGTCGCCCAGGCACAGCACAGCCCTCGGCACGGCACATCAAGATCGGTACATTCAGCATTGCAATTTGGCACGTTCCCTGGCAAGTTCTGTGGCGCGTCCCGTGACAAGTTCCCCTGGCACGTCGCGCTGCGCGTCCCCTGACACGTCCCGTGGCACGTCCATTGGCGCCTTCCGTAGCGCGTCTCCTTGGCACGTCCCGCGGTGCGTCCCCATGGCACGTTCCCTGGCACGTCGCCTGGCGCGTCCCTTGGGACGTTCCGCGGCGCGTCCTCCTGGCATGTCCCCCTGTCAATTAGCTCTGGAGCAGATACTATGTGCTCAGGCAGCTCGAGCTTAAGATCCAGAACATTTCGGTCAGGACTCGGATGCCAATGAGGACTCGATCCACAACGCTATGGAGCACAATCGCGGCACGGCACATCGCAATTCAGCACGGCGCAGCACAGCACAGCCCTCGGCACGGTACATCAAGATCGGTACATTCAGCATTGCAACTTGGCACGTTCGTGTCGCGTCCTGTGGCGAGTCCCCCTGGCACGTCGCGCGGCGCGTCCCTTGGCACGTCCCGTGGCCCGTCCATTGGCACGTTCTGTAGCGCGTCCCCTCGGCACGTCCCGCGGTGCGTCCCCATGGCACGTTCCCTGGCACGTCGCCTGGCGCGTCCCTTGGGACGTTCCGCGGCGCGTCCTCCTGGCATGTCCCCCTGTCAATTAGCTCTGGGGCAGCTACTATGTGCTCAGGCAGCTCGAGCTTAACATTCAGATCAGTCCGGCCAGGACTTGGATGCAAAGGAAGACTCGATCCACAACGGTATAGAGCACAATCGCGGCACGGCACATCGCAATTCAGCACGGTGCTGCACAGCACAGCCCTCGGCACGGTACCTCAAGATCGATGCATTCAGCATTGCAATTGCCCGTCACCCTGTCAAGTGTTTTGAAAACGTTGCCATGCCTCACGTCTATACTCTTTTCTGGGTTCGTGGGTCGATCATGTTTATGATTTCCCGGAAAGGGCGCTGGCCCAGGCTTCTTTTCTAGCTGTTTCCCCCCGGCCTCGACTTGAGGTGGGCTGGCGAATTTAATTTGCGATAGATAAACAAGGTCGAGGTGGGCGGCGAATTGAAATTCTTCACGCTTCGCGTATCCCCACCAGCCCATCTCAAAACAGCAACTCTTGCGAAGCATGCCGACAGTCGTGTTTTTCAGGCGTGTGTCCGCTTGCCCCCGCATATCTCCCCTGTTCCTCCTTCCTCCCGCCTCCTTGTACATCCTCCTTGTGGTGGGAGCGGGAGAAGGACGAGGCGGAGGAGGAGGGAGAGAAAGCGGTGGGAGGCAAGAGGGATTTAGCGGAGACGACGACCACAGCGATGATCCTAACAACGACGACGCACCCGACGACGACGACGATATCGACCGCAACGACGACGACGACCACAACCGCGACGACGACGACGACGACGACGACGACGACGACGAAGGCGGCGGCGACGACGACGACGACGACGACGACGACGACGACGACGACTGGTGGGAGTCGTTGGGGCCCCTCGTGGTGTGAGTCGTTCGGCCCCATCGTCCTTGTGTGAGTCCTTCGGGCCCCTCTTCCTGGTGTGAGTCGTTCGGGCTCCTCGTGGTGTGAGTCGTTCGGGCCCCTCGTCCTGGTGTGAGCCGTTCGGGCTTCTCGTGGTTCGAGTCGTTCGGGCCTCTCGTCCTGGTGTGAGTCGTTCGGGCCCTTCTTCCTGGTGTGAGTCGTTCGGGCTCTTCGTGGTGTGAGTCGTTCGGGCTCTTCGTCCTGGTGTGAGTCGTTCGGGCTTCTCGTGGTGTGAGTTGTTCGGGCCCCTCGTCCTGGTGTGAGTCGTTCGGGCCCCTCCTCCTGGTGTGATCGTTCGGGCTCCTCCGTGGTGTGAATCGTTCGGGGCCTCTTCCTGGTTTGATCGTTCGGGCTCCTCGTGGTGAGTCGTTCGGGCTCCTCGTGGCGTGAGGCGTCTGGGCACCTCTTCCTGGTGCTAGTCGTTCGGGCCCCTCGTAGTAGGAGTAGTAGTAGTAGTAGTAGTAGTAGTAGTAGTAGTAGTAGTAGTAGTAGTAGTAGTAGTAGTAGTAGTAGTAGTAGTAGTAGTAGTAGTAGTATAGTAGTATAGTAGTAGTAGTAGTAGTAGTAGTAGTAGTAGTAGTAGTAGTAGTAGTAGTAGTAGTAGTAGTAGTAGAACTAGTAGTAGTAGTAGTAGTAGTAGTAGTAGTAGTAGTAGTAGTAGTAGTAGTAGTAGTAGTAGTAGTAGTAGTAGTAGTACGTAGTAGTAGTAGCAGTAGTAGTAGTAGCAGCAGTAGGAGTAGTGAAGGTAGTTAGATGATATAGTGTTTAGTAATAATCAATAGTCGTCGTAGTTAGATAGTAGGAGGTAATCGTCATTAGTAGTAGTAGTCGTAAGTAGTAGTAAGTAGTCAGTCAGTGGTATGTAGTAGTAGTAGTAGTAAGTCTCCGTACGCAGTAGTAGTACGTAGTGTAGATATGATGTAAAGTTAGTAGTTTAGTGGTAGTCGTAGTAGTAGTCAGTAGTAGTCAGTCGTTAGTAGTAGTCACATAGTAGTAGTATAGTAGTCGTACAGTAGAGTCTTAGTCGTAGTCTATCGTGTTGCGGGTAGTAGTAGTAGTAGTAGTAGTAGTAGTAGAAGTAGTAGTAGTAGTAGTAGTAGTAGTAGTAGTAGTAGTAGTAGTAGTAGTAGATGTCTTTTGGGAGCCTCTTGGAGGCCTTTTGGGGCGTCTTGGGGGCCTCTTGGCGGCCCCAGGGGCTTCTAGGAGCGTCTTGGGGTGCCTTGGGGGAGCCTCTTCGGGCCTCTTGGGAGCCTCTTGGAGGCCGTTTGGGGCGTCTTGGTGGCCTCTTGGCGGCTCCAGGGGCTTCCAGGAGCGTCTTGGGTGCCTCGGGGGAGCCTCTTGGGGCCTCTTGGGGGCCTCTTGGGGGCATCTTGGGGGCCTCTTGGAGGCCTCTTGGGGCCTCTTGGGGCTCTTTGGGAGGGGTCTGGGAGCTATCTTGGGGCCATCTTTCGGGCGATCGATCACAGA